TGAGACATCCGGATCACCACCACCCCGCCCTCCCCTTAAAATTTGATTTAAAAACCCCTGTAAGAAACCCCTAAGAAGTCTCTTCTTCACATGCCACCTCTCGGGATCCTAAGATCCGTCATTAAGGAAGCGTCTTGATAGGCAAGAAGGCCATCCCCGGAAAAGGGGGAGTTCCCAAAGGGAGTAAAATTCTGTCTCAGTATAACATAGAGTGTGGCATCAACCAAACGGGATGACATCACAGGGATATGGAATGGGGAAATGACATGTCCACAAAGGGGACAAAGAATCTACGAATAATCCAACCAATTTACCTCAGGATGTCTGTCTAAATCACTTAAGGTCAAGCCATTCTGCAGAATCAACTGGCGTGCCTACAGGAAAAATAAAAGGCGATATTATTTCTCCATATTGATACATTTTGAACATCTTATTTTTATTCCTATTTTAAACTGTTTTGTTGTATGTATCTTGTCATAATCTATAGCCAATAAACAGATTTACTCATAGAATCAAAGACAACAAAACTTCATATATAAGCATGGGAACACTAGTTTCCATAAAGAAATAGATTGCTGGGGCAATTACAGTCAATAATCTCCTAAATATTAAGTCTTTCAAAGGCCCATCCATAGAGGACTTCCAGTTGACATTCGGTGAGAATGGCTAGAAAATAACGGAGCTCCACCGGGCTCCATGAAATGCAGCCAGCAACTGCTTGCTGGGAGACCCTATGTGGTTAAGCCTCTCTAGAGGGGAGGTAAAGAAAAGAGAGGTGCTTCCTCGATCGCGAGGAATTCACAATTTCTTCGCTGATCCAAAGAAAGCTCTCCTGAAGAGCAGCAGGAACAATGGACATTTTTGGTCAGTCACAAGCTGGGACAACCAGGACACTAAGATCTTGTGCTGGAGCAGTGCATGGACAAAGCAGTGAAACTAGGTGAGAAAATTTCCAACTTCTACCTTAAGAGATTTAACCTGTTAAAAACTTCAAAAATGAGCTCCAAACATTTAAAAAGCGACAATTGAGTATATGGAGAAAGATTAAAGACTAAAACTGAAGAGTTAAAATATAGAAAGCTTGGAAAAGGCGGATATATTGTAAAAAGTGACAAATGGGAGATAATGCTTTATTAAATCCAATGTCTAACTCTAATTGGATGTCAATCAGCTGTTTTTCACTTTTATACTTAGTTGAATGTTCAAATAGTGAGCAGGCGAGCCATCTACTGGAGGAAGATTACTGCAATATACACAATTTAAAAGATAGTGATGAGAGAAAGTAACCAACAGCTCAAAGTTACTTGAACATGACTTTATTTTAACAGGCAAATTGGGAAGTATCTATTGAGCTTTTTGAAGATTTATAAAGCAAAGCAGAAACACTAAACATTAAAACTTTATTAGTACTGCCTATTGAAAAACAGATTTAAAAGATTTGAAGAAATCCAGTGGGCTAAGTTGGACCATCATGACAGATCATTTTATGAAGCAAAAGAAGAAAAATAACAGAATAAAATATAGATAAGACTTTAAAATTTGGATAATTGGGAAGGTGGGAATTAGAAAATATAAAGATCAAAAAGCACAAATTTATAGCATTTAAAGAGTAGAAAGTTAGAGACTTGGAGGAATAATCTTGGGATTGACCAAACTTTATTAAGAATTGATTTTTTTCTGGAGTCTTTAGATATTGAGATTTCAGAGATATAATGTTACAAAATGACTCAGCAGGAGATAATAAAGTTTTATGAAGAAATGTTAGAAATAATTATAAAGAACTATAAGAGGTTGATGGGAATATTTAAAGATAAGGCGTGAAAGTAGAAGACACTCACAAGAAGATGATGGGACTGTCCAAAGATAAAGAAGTGAGTGTAGACAATCCTCAACAAATAGTAGGAAAAGATAAACAAAACATTCAGAAGATAGATGAGAAGGAGTGGTGGAGGAGACAAATCAAAATAAGCTATAGAAAAACAAAAAAAAATTAAAAGATAATAAAAATAAAGATTAAGAATCCAATAGTTAACTCCTTAAGAGCTTACAATAGCACAGAGGAAAAAAGTAATGAAAAGGTTATGGAGGGGCATCCAAACGATGCAACAGAAGGAGATTATGTAAAAATGCTAGAAGAAATATAGGATACCAAGAGAGAAATACAAAGAATTACCAAAAAATCAAAAAATGATTAAATTCAAAAAAGGCTGAGAGATGATGGATAGAGATAAAATATTTTGTAATACTGGGATGATATTAAAAATTAGTAGAAACAAACAGAAATATAATTTGGGAAAATAGTAACACATATATAGATATATAGTAGAATTTACTATACTCATAAACATACTAACATTAGGAGGTAGAAGAAAGTGATTAGGCATATTTAAATGTATTATTATGCTTAATAGTGAGCAAAATATTTTGGAATTTAGAGCTTTAAGGATAACAAATTCAGGGGATTTAGAGACATAACCCTGGGATGGGGTTAATAATAACTGATTTTATTGATATCTACAGAAAACTCAGATATTGGGAATTTGGTGGAATTTGAGTAATATTTAAAATATTAAAATATTGGTGTCTAATAGGGGTCAATAAAAACATTTGAAGAAATGTAATTGATGTTTATATATATCTTTGGAGAAAGTGATAAAAGGCTCATTAATCGAGAATAGTACTGTTTAAAGATAAAGAGATGAATATGGAAGAACTCCAATAAGGGTGGGGGGGGGAGAGTATAAATTGGGAAGATAGTATTATACATATTGATATATAAAAGAGTATTTTATAATTATAATGAGTTCATTGAGGTTAGAAGTTGGAAGACAAAAACTATGTATATGCAATTGTATTATTGTTAGCACTGTACAAGAATGTATACACTGTCATTACACTGTCTACAAAATATGTTGGTTGTTAAAGGGACAAACTGGAAATAAAACATATACAAAAAAAGACCCATCCATATAGATAAGGGGTAGTCAACCTTTTTATACCTACCGCCCACTTTTGTATCTCTGTTAGGAGTAAAATTTTCTAACCGCCCACCGGTTCCACAGTAATGATGATTTATAAAGTAGGGAAGTAACTTTACTTTATAAAATTTATAAAGCAGAGTTA